CCCAAAACCCCAAAACCCCAAAACCCCAAAACCCCAAAACCCCAAAACCCCGCATTAATTTATTTCACTCTCTTATGAAACTCAGATAATAATTCTAACAATTTATATTATCAAATTTCAATTATACACTATTTTCATAGGCTCTCTATAGCCATTATCTTAGCTATTGTCAAAACCCATTTCCTCTCGTATTCTTCTCAATCTACTCAATCTAAATTTCCTCTGCACATATTTGATAGCCCTGATTATTTGATCATACTTGATTGTATTTTTATCTTCTTTATACAATGACTGCACCTTATTAATGGCTTCTCTCTTCTTTATCTCGTCATACTACTTTATCTTATTCCTCGTTTATTAATCTGTCCTTGTCGGAATATTGTATCTATTCCTTTTAATCTATTTAGGTGGGTTGTATTGCACAGCTTAGAATATATTTCTCTAATGCTTTCCCTCATAAACGAATACATCCTTGGCTGAGGCTATCTCTTTTTTATACACCTCTCTCACCTAACTCAGAGAATAATTAATGAACAGTAGGTAAAAAGCAGGCATGATGTTTTGAACTCTATGCATGTACAAGCAATTATTAAGCAATACCTTCTATGATTACAGTTAAAACTTCTTTTCCTATTGCTTATACTTAGTCTTGAGCCATATCTCCGTTCTCTTTTACTCTTTAGATTCCAAGCCAATTTACTTTTCTATCTCCTTAATCTGTCCATTCAAATCATCCTCTATTGTCTTCAGATAAGTCATTTCTTGATCGAATATATTCAACTGATTCTTAGTTTTCTCCTATTCATTACTTCTAATCATTAACTTCCATTGAATGAATGCATCTTCTTTATTTCTAAAGGTCTTGGATTAATATATCTTGAGAATCACATCTTTTTTAATTTATTCCTTGGACTTTCTGGAGTTGATTGACTCATCTACAGCTGTCATAAGCGAGGTGATGCCTTGAGTCTAGATTTTTATTTAAACATGATCAAATTCTGCACTGTGTTTTCTAAGCTCTCTGAATACTAATCGCTATCATTTTCATAGAAAAGATCTTAGAATCATAAACATTAGAGAGTGAAGACTTTTATCCTTTTAGCTTAATTATATAGGCTAAGAATAATCTCTTAGAGACTTTACTTCTTTTAATAATTCCATTTTATATTACTTTAATTAAAATTTTAATTCAATAGTATTCAGGATAAACTTCTTTTCCTTTCCTTAAAGTTTTAAAACCTACAAAAGAACCATTCTCAGGTCTGTTATCTCCCTAACTCCATAGCTTGAGTAAGCTCGCCACATGATCACAAGGTATCCACTCTCTGTAGTTTTCAGTTGGATATTTTTTACGGTTCTCTTATGTGCTCAGTCTATCCCAAAGAAGCACATTAATCTACACATTTTGATATAGTATGTCATTAAATCCTTTGCTATTCGCCATATTCAATGCTGTTTGCATTTAAGTCATTTTCATAGCTCTCTCGATATAGTTTAGCTATCTTGCCTTTTCATGATCAGTTGGAATATTCTTCATACTCTCAACAGTAGAAGAGAAGCAAATATACCCATTAGATGATAGAAGTTGAGTGGCAAGATGAGAAGTAAGCATTGTAGCTCTGAGTTCACTATTCCTAAAGTTCTCATACTCATCAAATATCTTCTCATCGCTAAAGCCTAAACTAGGACTCACATCCTTAGCAGTTGAGATATTGATGATAGTTGATATTTCCTCTGAAACATCTGTGATCTCTCCTCTCAGCTTTTACAGATATTCAGAATCTATAAGATCATCTTTCTTTAGAATAATGCTCTTAGTTGCTTTTGAATTAGCTGTCTCGTCTATATTAATCACCTCCCACTTCCTAAATCTGGAATGAGCGAATCTCTTTGCTATTTCTTCACCTAACTCAGAAGATCCACCGACAAGAATGAGTGACTTCCTCCATCTTTGTCTGTATTAAAGCATAAATTTGGACATTGTAGTATTTGATTATTATATAAATTATTTCTCTGATTAATAATTTATTATAATCACTTTACTATGTTCTTTTGGGGTTTTGGGGTTTTGGGGTTTTGGGGTTTTGGGG